GGAGGAGGGATTGCCATTCTTCTTGTTGGCTGACTCATCAAAGAATCCAAAGATCTTGGGAATCTTTCTCTCCTTTACTCTCCAGGACTAAAAGCTAAACAAACTAATGTTCCAAAAGATTACCCAGAAAAACTGAAATTCTCAAAAGTAAATACAGGATTGGAACCTGTACAGAGCCGCTGTGTTTACTGCAGAATCACAAAACAATTCATTTTCAAATCCTTTTCACATACGTTACTCCCCCCAAGAACCACAGCTCTCAGGGGAAAGGAGTCTGAACTCCAGATCAGATCAATGGGACTGTGCCAGAGTCAGAAGAGCCTCTGACATGAAGCAAAGCAAACTTTGCAACATTTAGAAGAAAGGGAAATTTCCCGTAAGCCTCAGGGAACCTTTCCCAGAAGGCCTCAGAGTTGCTGAGAATGGAAAGATTCTGTGGGTCGTTACATCCATGAATTCAATTTTGTCATTCTTAAAGGTCATTGCTACGTTTAGATTTAGTTTTCGCATTAAACCAAAGGGGAAATGTCCTTCAGGGATCAGAATGAACAAAAGCTAGGAAGAGGGCGTGCTGGGAAAGCAGCATCCTACTTACTGAGCTGAATGATGGACCATGGAAGGTCCTGCCTGACTTCCCGTGGCATCTGTATCTTAAGGCTGCATGGCATACTCTACACAACCTTTTCTCAGGTTATCAATAGGGTTTTATTGCTAAAGTTGAGTTTTCTGCCTTTTCCCCTTTATACTGAAAAGCCTTTCTAGTGTGGTATGATTGCTAAGATGACCAGGAAGAAAAACAAATGCTAAACCAAAATAAAGCACAGGAAGAGACTAAATCATAAGTTAGGTGAAAAGACTTTTTTATATTAAGTAGAAAGTATGCCAAATGAGTTGCTTTAATTCCTAGTTTGACAAAGTTGGACTGGTTCCTTTTGTTGAGCATACAGAAGCAATATACATTGTTTCCAAATCACATACCTTCAGAAGCTTATGACAGTTACTAAAACTAGGCTAACTACAGACTTTAAACAAAACTCAGATTTTTATAAATCTTCGGAGACTACCAAACTTTGAAAACCCAATCCATATATTAATGACATCACAGACCTAAATGCTTAAGCTTCAAAAGGGAAGGTAAGAAACATCAAATTCTAGAACCTGCAAATTCATTTTGTTTCCATGTAATTCTTTCAAGTCCTGTTCAAACAAAACAGATGTATTATAAAAGCCCAATATCGTTAGTATGGAAAATTACTAAGCACTTTGTTTCTAAGTAGTAATACAGATTAGTCCAATTACTTTTAAGTGGCCTTGAGATTGATAATTTTACACCCCCCCCAAGAACATTCTACCACTTCAATAACCAAATAACCTTAAAGCAATTAGTCACTGAAAACACACACACACACACACACACACACACACACTGACTAATTCATGTTTATCAGTAGAACTTCAAAAATATCTGCCCTACCTATAGCACAAGATGGTTGAAGATGAAAATCAAAATGAGACAGTATTTGAAAGTACTTCATAAACACTTAAAATCATAACATTTTAAGTCAGTAAGTAGCAGAGTTTTCACAAATAGTCAAATACAAGTAATGCTCTAAGTTGCTATAGTAAACGAGCAGGAGGCAAGGTGTCCTTAGCATGGCATCGAATCTTTGTTCAACCATTAAGCACCACTAGCCTCATCGTAAGACAAGTCAATAATGCCCACTGAGTCCCATTTTCTTATTTGGAAAGTAACAGAACTGAACTAGAGATCCAAAGTCCTTCTTGGCTCTACTACTTTGATTAGTAATATTTCACACCCAAATTACTGCTATTATAAATAAGTAGCATTTCACATAACTGAATATTCTCAGTGTGTGCCACCATGTCACAAGTGGATACCCTACCTTTCAGAATTCAGCAGATATAGCGTGGAATACTAACACCTTCTATAGACTTATGTGCAGACCTGTGACATGTTCAAAGCACTATAACATATTCCTTCTCAGGTGGGTCAAAAATTAAATGAGATGAAGACACATTTTATCCCTCATTTATCAGACTAGTGAGCTGAAGCCAAGATCAAGTTATCAACAACAACTCATGGCTCCAAGAGTCAAAGCTGGAAGGAGAAAGCAGGTGCCATGCTCTTCTCAATCAGGCATAACCGAGAGTCTGAAATGAAAATGTAACAGAGCCAACCTTCTAGTGTCCAATCGGCTGCGCTGGAAAAGTAGGCAGTACCTTATTCGCATTTGCTAAACCACTAGGCACTCTTCTTTCTGGCTGCCAGGGACACAGCAATGAACAAAAGAAAAACCCCTGGCCTCACTGAGCTTACATTGTGGTTGGGAAAGAGAAACAAGGTAAATGAGTAAAATATAGGGTACATTATAGTGATAAGTGCTATGGAAAAAACAAAACATGAAAAGAGGAGAGAGAGCATGTGTTTGGGGATTTGTAATTTTCTTTTGAGCCGGCTGGATGCCACTTAAAGAACTACAATAATGCATCTAGAGTAGTTTTCCTAAGCATTTCCCCAAACAGGGAACACGTTGGATACCGGGAAGACTCTGGCCTACTGATTCCAATTTGAGAATGATTACTCAAACCTCTGAACTGCCAGCTATGAGCTGTCATAGCGGCAATCTAAATCCCCTACTAACAAAATTAAATCCATAAAGAGTGCAAATTGGTTTACAAAAGAGAGAGCCAGGAGAAGTTACAAGAGCACTTGCACTGCTTCTGAGTTAGCACAAATGTCTCCTAATGTAAAGGTTAAAATGTAGTTTGTGTGCTGAGTTCTGCTAAACTAAGAATGCAGTACACATCACTTTGCTTTTTCTGACTTGTCAATTCTAGTGACATTCTCTACTATCAGTCTATATTTAACCAGCTTACTGGGCAGTTTCTCCAGCTTTTAGCATTTTTTTTTTCTTCTTTTATTAAAAGAGCAACCCAGTTTGCAAGAAAAGCTGCTACAAGAAAAGTGAACCGTCCCCTGCAAGATCTGATATACTTGGTTAAGCACTGTCTCATCAACCTTCAAACAGGTTAGTTGGGATGGCAAATCAGGTTAAGCTTTGTTCCACTGAAGTTTTAAAAAATCTCCGAGTCGCTAAAATCTCCTGCTCCTCGAGCTGTAAATGCATCCTGAGAATGACAGTCAGTCTTCTGAAATTCTCGACAGCTTCCTGGAACGTGTGTCTATAACGCACAGCCCTTTTAAACCGAGTCCCCACAAGGGAGTGGAAAAGGCACATTTGACGAGAACTTCGGCCTTGGGGTCAGGTCGCCTAGCCCAAGGAGAAGATTCAACACCACAGGGTTTACCCTCTGCCCACGCCCGGCGAGGAGGTTGTTTGTTTGGCTTCTCGGCGGGAGCGGACGCTACCGGTCGTGGGCCCCGCGGGGCTGCGCGTCGATTTGAAGGCGAACTGCCGGCAAACTTCAGCCGGGATCCCGCGGCCCGGCCCGGCCGAGGGGGCGGCTCTG